TAGTCAATGTCATTAAGTTTTTCCCCTATGTTTTCTAAGAGTTTTGTAGTTTTAGCTTTTACATCTAGATCTTGGCTCTATTTTGAATTAATTTTTAGATTTATTTATTTATTTTTCAGACGGAGTCTCATTCCGTCACCCAGGCTGAAGTGCAGTGGCTGTGATCTCGGCTCACTGCAACCTCTGCCTCCCCAGTTCAAGCAATTCTCCTGCCTCAACCTCCCGAGTAGTGGGATTACAGGTGCTCTCCACCATGCCCGGCTAATTTTTGTATTTTTAGTAGAGATGTGGTTTCATCATGTTGGTCAGGCTGGTCTTGAACTCCTGACCTTGTGATCCACCCGCCTCAGCCTCTCAAAGTGCTGGGATTACAGGTGTAAGCCACCACACCCGGTCTATTTGTTTATTTTTTTTAGTTGAAGTCTTGCTCTTGTCCTCCAGACTGGAGTGCAGTGGTGCGATCTCGGCTCACTGCAACCTCCACCTCCCAGCTTCAAGCAATTCTCCTGCCTCACTCTCCCGAGTAGCTGGGACTATAGGTGCCTGCCACCACACCTGGCTAATTTTTATTAGCCAGATGGGGTTTTACCATGTTGGCCAAACTGGTCTTGAATTCCTGATCCCAGGTGATCTGCCCTCCTCGGCCTCCTATAGTGCTGGGATTACAGGTATGAGCCACTGCCTGGCCAATTATTTTTTTCTTTTTTTTTTTTAAAGACACATTCTCCCTCTGTGGCCCAGGATGGAGTGCAGTGGTGCAATCTTGGCTCACTTCAACCTCCACCTCCTGGGTTTAAGCGATTCTTGTGACTCAGCCTCTGGAACGGCTGGGACTACAGGCACGTGCCACCACGACCAGTTAATTTTTTTTTTTTTTTTTTGAGACAAAGTCTTACTCTTTTCCCCTAGGCTGGAGTGCAGTGGTGCTATCTCGGCTCACTGCAACCTCCACCTCCCGAGTTCAAGTGATTTTCCTGCCTCAGCCCCACTGAATAGCTGGGATTACAGGCATGCGACACCACGTCTGGCTAGTTTTGGTATTTTTAGTAGAGGCAGGGTTTCAACATGTTGGCCAGGCTGGTCTCGAACTCTTGACCTCAGGTGATCCACCCGCCTCGGCCTCCCAAAGTGCTGGGATTGCAGGAGTGAGCCACCACGCCCGGCCTCGACTGGCTAATTTTTGTAATTTTAGTAGAGTTGGGGTTTCACCATGTCGGCCAGGCTGGTCTCAAATTCCTGACCTCAAGTGATCTGCCTTCCAAAGTGCTGGGATTACAGGCATGAGCCTATATAGATTTAAATTTGGTGCACAAAGGAATAGGCCACCAGAGCATGATCTTGAGCAGGAAGTCCAAGAAGAGAGACACAGCATTTTCTTGAAGGCCTGGGGTAGAATAAGATCAGAGTGTATGTGAAAAACCAGTAGACTTTTGGTGCAGGTGCAGTGGCTCACGCCTGTAATCCCAGCACTTTCAGAGGCCGAGGCAGGCAGATCGCTTGAACCCAGGAGTTTAGGACCAGCCTGGCCAGTATGGTGAAACCTCATCTCTACAAAATATACAAAAATTAGCCAGGCATGGTGGCACATGCCTGTGGTCCCAGCAACTTGTGAGGCTGAGGTGGGAGGATCACTTGAGCCTGGGAGGCACAGGTTGAAGTGAGCTACATTTGTGCCCCTGCACTCCAGCCTTAGCAACAGAGCCAGACTCTGTCTCAAAACATACAAACCAAAAAAAACCAAACCAAAAAAACCAGTAGACTTTCAGAGGAATAGATACCATTTTTTTCTTCCTTAATCCTCTGCCTTCTAGTTAATTCTACAGTCCAAAAACAAAAACAAAAAAAAATAGAGAGGAAGGTGATTTGACAAGACGAAGGATTTAGAAAAGAAAGGCAGGTGTTAGTCATGTGGGGAAAAAAGGAAGTATTTGTGTTTACAAGAATCCTGACAGTATCTGAGAATGTAGAATGAAAAATATTTTCCATTTGTTAAAAAATCCAGGCTAAGCATATGAAATACTCAGGGTTACCCCTCTGACCTCGTCTTGGGGTGTTTCAGCCTACCATGGTTACCCCTATTAGTTAACGCCTTATCACAGAATCACAAAGGCCCACAGAGTGAAGGTGGCTACGAAGAGCTCTCATGAAAAGTAGGCTTGGCATGGTGGCTTACACCTGTAATCCCAGCACTTTGAGAGGTCAAGATGGGTGGATCACTTGAGCCCAGGAGTTTGAGATCTGGACAACATGGCAAAACCGTATCTCTACAAAGATACAAAAATTAGATGGGCATGGTAGTATGTGCCTGTAGTCCCAGCCACTCAGGAGGCTAAGGTGAGAGGATGGCTTGAGCCTGGGAGGTCGAGGCTACAGTGAGCCAAGATAGAGCCACTGCACTCCAGCCTGGACAACAGAGCCAGACCTTGTCTCAAAAAATAAAAGAAAGAGAGAGAGAGAAAGAGAAAGAAAGAGGGAAAGAAGGAAAGAAAGAAAGAGAGAGAAAAAAGAAAAGAAAAGAGAGAGAGAGAAAGAAAGAAAAGAAAAAAGAAAAGTAGCCGGGCGCGGTGGCTCACGCCTGTAATCCCAGCACTTTGGGAGGCAGAGGCGGGTGGATCACGAGGTCGGGAGATTGAGACCAACCTGGCTAACACGGTGAAACCCCGTCTCTACTAAAAATACAAAAAATTAGCCGGGCGAGGTGGCGGGCGCCTGTAGTCCCAGCTACTCGGAGGCTGAGGCAGGAGAATGGCGTGAACCCGGGAGGTGGAGCTTGCAGTGAGCCGAGATCGCGCCACTGCACTCCAGCCTGGGCGACAAAGCGAGACTCCGTCTCAAAAAAAAAAAAAAAAAAAGAAAGAAAAAAGAAAAGTAGAAGTTAGTCGTCCAGGCCAAGAGTATGAAGTTTGTCTTCAAAGAACTGCTGAATTTGTCAGGGAATGAGATGTAGACATCTGACGAACACGTTTATTTATTAGAGGTTACGAGACTAGCAAGTAGGGTGGAAGGAGGAAAGCGGCAGGAAAATCATACTGGAAAGGTAGGTTGGGAACCAACTGTGAAGGACCTTGTACGTCAATCCAAGGAATGTGACCTTCAACCTAGAGCAGAGGTGACAAACTCAAAATCCCACAGAGACAAGGCTTGCCAATGAGGAAAGCCAACCAGATGTAAGGCAATAGGGAGTGGTGGGGACTGTGGCAAACCGTAGAGCTCATTCTGTCTCTACTCTGTCTACTCTCAGCTCCAGCTGATTGTTTCCATGTGGGAGTGTCGCTCCAGTGTGGCCAGCTCTTCCAGTGTTCTAAGAGACAACAGAAATCCAGGTTTTTATAGGACGCCACCAGGTTTTAAAAACATATGGGCCAAGCCAGGCTGGTTTTTAAACCAGATATGGTCCACAGGCCATCTTTCTGGCGCCTTGGCAGATTGAAGGGAGCTAGTGAAGATTTTTTTTTTTTTTTTTGAGACGGAGTCTTGCTCTGTCGCCAGGCTGGAGTGCAGTGGCAAGATCTTGGCTCACTGCAAGCTCTGCCTCCCGGGTTCATGCCCCTGCTTCAGCCTCCCAAGTAGCTGGGACTACAGGCGCCCGCCACCAAGCCCAGCTAATTTTTTGTATTTTCAGTAGAGACGGGGTTTCACCGTGTTAGCCAGGGTGGTCTCGATCTCCTGACCTCGTGATCCCCTGGCCTCGGCCTCCCAAAGTGCTGGCATTACAGGTGTAAGCCACTGCGCCCAGCCTAGTGAAGATTTTTAAGTGAAAAAAGGTATATGATCACATCTGTGCTTTAGAAAAATCAGATTGTTGTGTAGAAGATGACTTACAGGAAATAGACGAGAGGAAGGGAAACCAGTTAGGAAATTGTTTCATCAGTTCAGGTGGGAGGTGACCGCGGTCTGTGCTAGGGCGAGGCAGGGGAGAATGTGGGTGGACAGATTCGGAGTCCAGCATCCAGTGGGAAGAATTTAGCTTCAGTGTGTGTCTAGAAGACAGACACATTCTTTCAATGCACCCCCTCTTTTCCACCCCCCCTTTTTTTTTTTTTTTTTTGAGACAGAGTCTCACTCTTGTCGCCCAGGCTGGAGTGCAGTGGCACGATCTTGGCTCACTGCAACCTCCACCTCCCGGGTTCAAGTGATTCTCCTGCCTCAGCCTCCTGAGTAGCTGGGATTACAGACATGTGCCACAACACCCAGCTGATTTTTGTATATTTTTAGTAGAGATGGGGTTTCACCATGTTGGCAAGGCTGGTCTCGGACTCCTGACCTCAAGTCATCCACCTGCCTCGGCCTCCCAAAGTGCTTGAATTATAGATGTGAGCCACTCCATTTTCTTTCTTTCTTTCTTTCTTTCTTTTTTTCTTTTTTTTTTTTTTGAGACGGAGTCTCGCTCTGTCGCCCGGGCTGCAGTGGCCGCATCGCAGCTCACTGCAAGCTCCGCCTCCCGGGTTCACGCCATTCTCCTGCCTCAGCCTCCCAAGTAGCTGGGACTACAGGTGCCCGCCACCACGCCTGGCTAATTTTTTGTATTTTTAGTAGAAATGGGATTTCACCGTGTTAGCCAGGATGGTCTCGATCTCCTGACCTCGTGATCCGCCCGCCTCAGCCTCCCAAAGTGCTTGGATTACAGGCGTGAGCCACTGCACCCGGCCTCCACCCCATTTTCTAAACTGGAAGCTGAAAGGCACAGGGCAGATTAATAATCCTTAAAGCCAAAGGACAGGAAATTTTAGCAAAGACTCCAATTTTTTGTGCAGTCTAATTTTACTCATGATTGCTTTAGAGATGGACTCCTTAATCAACTCCTCCAATCCTCATCCGCCCCCAGGGGGCAGTTGTAATTGATAGGCTTAGCACATGATTGAAATTAAAAACTTACATCTCATGGTGCTTGGCTCATTTAAGCAGCCAATGGAAACTCAGGGCCAAATCTTTGTAAAAGTTCTAGGCTCTGCTTCCCAGCAGAGGGGGGACCGGCCCCCAAGGAGGCCGTTTTGTGAAGACAGACATGTGAGAAGTGGGCTTCTGATTTATGTCATGGCCTTGGTCGTTGTGCAACTGGTGGGTTCGGTTCACGGAAGGATGCAAAGGGCAGGGAGGTGGGAATAGAGCGGGGGAAAGGTGACTCTCGTCAAAGACTTTTTCTAACACCCATCAAGTATCGTGATTAGAACATTTTTCTCCGCAGACTCTTCCAATTTTCGAGCGCGGTATTTTTGGGCACAGGAAATGGCCCGGAGGAGCTGCAGAGCAAAGCCTCCCCTCTCTGGCACCGTATGGGAGTGCCCCGTGGGATGAGGGAGAGGACAAGGCAGTCAGGCAAAGGTTAGGGGAGGAAAGCAAAGGCAGGGGCCCAGAATGACTCCAGGAAATGTTTGGATTTCTCCACCAGGAGGGAGGACAAACAAGCTTTTTTCTTTCCTTCTGGGCAGCTTTGTGTGCTCTCCAGCACGGAGTCTGAGGAGGAAAAGCGAAGCTGAAAATAAAAATTATCCTGGGGCTGGACCCAATCGCTCCTCTACCGCACGAATCTCTTCGGATACCCCCAACCCTACCGCCTCTCAGAAATGACCACTTTTGCAAAATTGCATGCATTTCCAAGCTTCATCCGGCTCCAGGCTTGGCCTCTCGGAGAGGCAGGCGGCTTATGAGACGGGCTCCAGAGAAAAGACCTCCCTGGGTCTGTCATTTCCTGGCTGAAGTTTCTCTTCTCGCTGCTGTGGCAGCGTCCAACCCACACACACAGGACCCGCATCCTGGGTGATGAAGTCAGACATGCAGCAGCTGGGTGAGTGCTGACGCTTCGATAAGCATCTGTGTCATTGTGGGGACCCCCTGGGCTGCTCCGCACCCGGACACTTGCTCTGTCCCCACCATGTACAACGGGTCGTGCTGCCGCATCGAGGGGGACACCATCTCCCAGGTGATGCCGCCGCTGCTCATTGTGGCCTTTGTGCTGGGCGCACTAGGCAATGGGGTCGCCCTATGTGGTTTCTGCTTCCACATGAAGACCTGGAAGCCGAGCACTGTTTACCTTTTCAACTTGGCCGTGGCTGATTTCCTCCTTATGATCTGCCTGCCTTTTCGGACAGACTATTACCTCAGACGTAGACACTGGGCTTTTGGGGACATTCCCTGCCGGGTGGGGCTCTTCACGTTGGCCATGAACAGGGCCGGGAGCATCGTGTTCCTTACGGTGGTGGCTGTGGACAGGTATTTCAAAGTGGTCCACCCCCACCACGCGGTGAACACCATCTCTAACCGGACGGCGGCTGGCATCGTCTGCACCCTGTGGACCCTGGTCATCCTGGGAACACTGTATCTTTTGCTGGAGAACCATCTCTGTGTGCAAGAGACGGCTGTCTCCTGTGAGAGCTTCATCATGGAGTCGGCCAATGGCTGGCATGACATCATGTTCCAGCTGGAGTTCTTTCTGCCCCTCGGCATCATCTTATTTTGCTCCTTCAAGATTGTTTGGAGCCTGAGGCGGAGGCAGCAGCTGGCCAGACAGGCTCGGATGAAGAAGGCGACCCGGTTCATCATGGTGGTGGCAGTTGTGTTCATCACGTGCTACCTGCCCAGCGTGTCCGCCAGACTGTATTTCCTCTGGACGGTGCCCTCGAGTGCCTGCGATCCCTCTGTCCATGTGGCCCTGCACATCACCCTCAGCTTCACCTACATGAACAGCATGCTGGATCCCCTGGTGTATTATTTTTCAAGCCCCTCGTTTCCCAAATTCTACAACAAGCTCAAAATCTGCAGTCTGAAACCCAAGCAGCCAGGACACTCAAAAACACAAAGGCCGCAAGAGATGCCAATTTCGAACCTCGGTCGCAAGAGTTGCCTCAGTGTGACAAATAGTTCCCAAAGCCAGTCTGATGGGCAGTGGGATCCCCACATTGTTGAGTGGCACTGAACAAGCAGACCAACAACACTGAGGAAGATAGAGTGGTGACTTAGAATTAATTCGGTAAGGGGTCGGGGGCTTTGAAAATGCCACCCACCTTTCTTATTGCAAGACGGCTTCACACACATGAACTGCATCCTCATTCTGTCAGAAATGAAATTCACACAACTATACCTTTTGGGGAGGTTCCAGTTGATTGAAGTGAGTTGGTTGCATTTTCTTATCTGATTACGATGGCAGGGGACAGAATGTGCATGGAGTGGAGCATGTGTGTGTTGGGAGGGGGGTTAGCAACTGGACAGCCCCTGTGTAATTTTCGTTGTTTGTTTTTGTTTTGAGACAGAGTCTCGCTCTGTCTCCCAGTCTGGAGTGCGGTGGCACAATCTTGGCTCACTGCAACCTCCGCCTCCCGGGTTCAAGTAATTCTCCTGCCTCAGCCTCCCGAGTATAGATGGGATTACAGGCTCCTGCCACCACACCTGGCTAATTTTTGTATTTTTAGTAGAGACAGGATTTTGCCATGTTGTCTAGGCTGGTCTCGAGCTCCTGACCTCAAGTGACCCGCCTGCCTTGACCTCCCAAAGTGGTGGGACCACAGGCATGAGCCACCGCGCCCGGCTTCCCCTGTGTCATTTTAAATGGCTAAGTAAATGGGCATATGTGTTTAAATGGGGCATATTCTCTCTCTTAGGAGGTGGGGGCATTAGCATCATTTCCTATCCTCTGACCTTAAATCATTCCTTATCTCAGAAAATAGGAACCGGGCTAAGTCAATCAATACTTTTTTATTTCAGGCCGAATGAGGCTCTTTAGATTGGGATGTATTGATCTATTAATTTTCATCTTTACATTTTTTTGTACATCTGTACATTTCTTTGTCATCGTTGTGACTTCCCGGTAGCCCAAGAAGAACAACAACAAAACAATCTGCTCTGACCTTCTTCAAATCTTTGTATTTCAAAGAAGGTGCTGAGGGGTCTGTTTCCCTGCCCTGGCTTCTCCAGTGGGATGTGCTGAGTCCAACACAATTGCTTTTACAATTGCTTTTGATGACTTATTATGTGACTGTGAATTGAAATTATTCATTTACTTATTCTCCAAGTATTTACTGAATTCATATTTGGTGGCAGGCACTATACTGTGTAATTTTTAGTGGAGGGTCATTAGTCACCTCTTGTGTGACAGTAAAGTTTTTTTGGGGGTGGGGGCAGACAAGTTAAGAGCTTTCATCCTTTCACGGAATAATTTCTAGACCTGTTCTGTGTGAACATCAGTGTTGTACTCTTATTGCAAAACTCCCTCATACACATGAGCTTCCCAAATGTGTACCTGGACCCCTCAAAACAGAGGACTCTATGAAATGACAAGCTGCCCCTGCCCTGAATTAGGGGGAAACATTCCAGACCAACTCTAGCTCCTTTCTCAAGCCACAAAGTGGTGAACATGGTTCTCAACTCCTTAATTTATACTCTCTCAAATGCCCAGGATACTCTCCCCACTGAAGAACTTTGCCAACTTCTGGGGACCAGGCGTGGTGGCTCAAGCCTGTACTCCCAGCACTTTGGGAGACTGAGGTGGGCGGATCACCTGAGGTCAGGAGTTCTAGACCAGCCTGACCAACATGGAGAAACCTTGTCTCTACTAAAAATACAAAATTAGCCCTGTGTGGTGGCACATGCCTATAATCCCAGCTACTCGGGAGGCTGAGGCAGGAGAATCACTTGAACCCAGGAGGTGGAGGTTGAGGTGAGCTGAGATTGCGCCATTGCACTCTAGACTGGGCAGAGTGAAATACTGTCTAAAAAAAAAAAAAGCTTTGCCAACTTCTAGTTCTTTGGCCCCCAAAACACCCCTCTAGGCTGTCCCTATTGTTCCTTTTTCCAGAGGCACTGCACAGCCTAGTGATGAAAACTACGAGCTATAGAGCATTAGATGCATCTAAGTTGGAATCTCAGCTCAAGCATTTACTAGGCCTGTGATCTTAGGGCAGATTGTGTTTTTAGACACTGAGTCTCGCTCTGTTGCCCAGGCTGGAGTGCAATGGCATGATCATAGCTCACTGCAGCCTCAAACTCCTGGGCTCAAGTGATCCTCCCACCTCAGCCTCTTGAGTGGCTGGGATACAGGCATGAGCCATCACACTCAACTAATTTTTAAATTTTTTTGTAGAGATGAGGTCTCACTCACTGTGTTGCCCAGGCTGGTCTCAAACTCCTGGCCTCAAGCAATCCTCCAACCTTGGCCTGCCAAAGTATTGGGGTTACCTGCATGAGCCACTGCTCCCAGCCTGGCAGATTTTTTTTTTTTTTTTTTTTTTTTTTGAGACGGAGTCTCACTCTGTCGCCCAGGCTGGAGTGCAGTGGCCGAACCTCAGCTCGCTGCAAGCTCTGCCTCCCGGGTTCATGCCATTCTCCTGCCTCAGCCTTCAGAGTAGCTGGGACTACAGGCGCCCGCCACTGCGCCCGGCTACTTTTTTGTATTTTTAGTAGAGACGGAGTTTCACCGTGTTAACCAGGATGGTCTCGATCTCCTGACCTAGTGATCTGCCTTGTCTCGGCCTCCCAAAGTGCTGTGATTACAGGCATGAGCCACTGCGCCCAACCCAGCCTGGCAGATTTTATTTAACCATTTGTAGCTTCACTTTCCTCGTCTGTCAAACAGGGATACTATAACACAACCTTGGTGTGTCATCGGGCAGTTTAAATGAATGTACATTCCTGAGGTGTTAGAACTCTGATCACTGTTATATACCCAATGCCTAGAAGAGGACCTGCACATAGCAGGTGCCCAGGAAATGTTGAATGAATGCAGGATTCAGTGCATGTAAAGCATTAAGCATAGCGCCTGGCAGTAAGTGCTCAATATTATGACTTCTTATATTAACACGTTTTACACATAAAGAAGTAGAGGCACAGAAGCAATTTCCTTTGGGGTTTAGAGCCCTTAAGTTGTTGCTCTGTTACACGCCTGAATTCCCCCGCACCTCAGTTACCTGGGAAAGAGTGAAGGCAAGAATTCTTAGCAGCATTGAAGAGTCATACATCCTCCTGATAGGAATCTGCGAAAATACACACTTCTCCTTTTAGTTCTGTTCTTAGAATTCTCTCCTGGGCTGTTGCTCCTTTGTCCCTTCATCGTAATAAAAATGGATTCTGAAAGCAAATCTGTGTCCTGTGTGTGACTCTAGGTCAAAGGACCCCTAGGATTTTGCCCTCCCAGGGAAAAAAGCTAAGATATGCAGAACTGCGTGGCAGGCAGGCAGAGGTTCTCACCGAAAAAACAGCAAGCACAAACAAAAAGAAAAATCAAATCCAAACTGAAATACAGTCTTGATTCTAAATTTGCTTCCCTTTTTACATTCGCAGAATGTGACGAAAAATACATCTTAGCAAGAAGTGTCTTTGGACATCGTAAAGAAGTAGAGTATAGCTTTTGTTGACAACACTTTGTTTAAACTATCTGAAACAGGAAAATGGTTGATTTAGAGGAAAATGTGTTCTCTCTCTCTCTCTCTTTTTTTTTTTTGGTGAGACAGGATCTCACTGTGTTGCCCAGGCTAGAGTGCAGTGGTGCGATCATGGCTCACTGCAGCCTCAACTTCCTGGCTCAAGTGATCCTCCCACCTCAGCCTCCCTAGTAGTTGGGGCCACAGGTACACTCCACTGAGTCCAGCTAATTTTTCTGTAATTTTTCTAGAGATGGGGTCTCATTATGTTGCCCAGGCTCGTCTCAAACTCCTGGGTTCAAGTGATCCTTCCTCCTTGTTACTCCTTTTAGAGTCTTTCCGGAAAAGTCACATGAAACCTGGAAGAGCTATTAGTCTATAGGGATGATGTGGAAAAAACAAGAGGTATCTTTTATTTTTGCTAACCATGGTAAAACTTTCAGTTTTGGTCAATTCTCGGAATGGATTTCCTTACCTTTTATTAAAACAAAAATGTTTAAGATGGCATCTGAAGGTTCCTGGAGTGCAGGGCTCCTTGGAGGGGATTAGAACTCTGGGGCACAAGGGCTTGAGCCAGTTGTTAAGGTTCTACAAGGTGGGGACTTGGCTGCACTGTGAGGCATGGTCTCTACTTGTTGGCTTTCCAGGCCTTCTGATTCACAGAGGTTTCTAATACGATTCAAGAAAGACTCCATCATCACAATGAGTGCATAAATGGCTTCAAGATCAGCGACCCTACTTTGCAGGCCCCAGTGAAAAATGAAAATGTGAGGTCCCTTGTTCAAAAGGTGTTAATGGCTGAGCGAAGTGGCTCATGCCTGTAATTCCAGAGCTTTGGGACGTTGAGGCAGGAGGATCACTTGAGGCCAAGAGTTTGACACCACTCTGGGCAACATGGTGAGACTCCATCTCTATAAAAATTTTAAAAATTAGCCAGGTGTGGTGGTGTGTGACTGTAGTCCTAGTTACTTGAGAGGCTGAGGTGAGAGGATCCCTTGAGACCAAGAAGTAGAGGCTTCAGTGAGCTATGATCATGCCACTGCACTCCAGCCTGGGTGACAGAGTGAGACCCTATCTCTAAATTTAAAAAAAAAATTTTTTGGCCGGGCGCGGTGGCTCAAGCCTGTAATCCCAGCACTTTGGGAGGCCGAGACGGTGGCTCAAGCCTGTAATCCCAGCACTTTGGGAGGCCGAGACGGGCGGATCACGAGGTCAGGAGATCGAGACCATCCTGGCTAACACGGTGAAACCCCGTCTCTACTAAAAAATACAAAAAACTAGCCGGGCGAGGTGGCGGGCGCCTGTAGTCCCAGCTACTCGGGAGGCTGAGGCAGGAGAATGGTGTGAACCCGGGAGGCGGAGCTTGCAGTGAGCTGAGATCCGGCCACTGCACTCCAGCCTGGGTGACAGAGCAAGACTCCGTCTCAAAAAAAAAAAAAAAAAAAAATTTTTTTGAGACGGAGTCTTGCTCTGTAGCCGAGACTGGAGTACAGTGGCGCATCTTGACTCACTGCAACCTCTGCCTCCCTGGTTCCAGCGATTCTTCTGCCTCAACCTCTTGAGTAACTGGGACAACAGGCACATGCCTGTTAGCAGCAGGCTAATTTTTTTGTATTTTTAGTAGACACAAGGTTTCACCATATCAGCCAGGTTGGTCTTGAACTCCTGACCTTGTGATCCACCCACCTCAGCCTCCCAAAGTGCTGGGATTACAGGTGTGAGCCACTGTGCCTGGCCAAAATTTTTTTTAAGTAATAAAAAGTGTTAAGAATTTTGAAGATGGTAGCACAGGGCCCTTCTGAGCTCATCTGTGAATCTGAGGCTCTACGTTTATATACATATTTTTTATTTATTATATATATTTTTGCTATATAATTTTTACATATGACATATAAGTGTTTATCATATTTACTATATTATATATAATATTTATACATACATAAATTATATAATATAAATATATAATCATTTATATATTAAGAGAGAGAGATGAAATAAACAGATGAAAGAGATGGGCTCACATATGAGCCAAATCTGTATTCGGGTTTCTTTGTATTGGACTATAAAATGATATAGTGGGAGGGGGGTAAATATTTTATTCCTTATAAGGATTCATTCATTCATTTCCTCTTTCAAAGAACATTAATGAAGCACCAGCTCTATACCAGACACGGTAGAAACATAAATGAAAATCATAGCCACGGGGCCCACTGTAGAAACCAAGGGAAAACATAAAATTATAAAATATAAAATTACAAAATATGGCCAGGGGTCGTGGCTCACTTCTGTAATCCCAGCAGTTTGGGAGGCCAAGGTGGGCAGATCACTTGAGGTCAGGAGTTCAAGACCAGCCTGGCCAACATGGTGAAACCCGTCTCTACTAAAAATACAAAAATTAGCTGGGCATGGTGGTGCGTGCCTATAATCCCAGCTACTCGGGGGGCTGAGGCAGGAGACTCGCTTGAGCCTGGGAGGTGGAGGTTGTAGCAAGCTGAAATCACACCACTGCACTCCAGCCTGGGCAAGCAAGAAAGACTCTGTCTCAAAAATAAAATAAAATAATACAATAAAATAATAAAATTATCCTGTGGGACCCTGTGTTTGTCACTTTCACACAGGGTCCTGCAGGAGAATCCAGGGCCCTTACTCCTGTCTTAGTCGTCTCAGAGGAAGTAGCTTGCAAACTTGGCTCTGAAGGATGGACAGGAAGCCACCAGGGACACAGTGGGGAAGGGTATTCCAGGCAGATATAGAGAGGTGAAAAAGAGCAAACTGGGAAATGCAGGAAGACCATCAGGGCAGGAATGAAAGGTCCAGGCTGGGGCTGCGATCACTTGGTAAGAGGTGAAGTCATGAGGTCAGCCGAAGAGGGAAGGGTCTGTTGTCTGTTCCAACCCTCAGCGTGACAGAAGATTCACGAATAGACCTTCAGATTCCTCTCTATCTTGTTTTTGTTTTTGAGACAGAGTGTTGCTCTGTTACCCAGGATGGGGTGCAGTGGCATGATCTCAGCTCACTGTAACCTTGAACCCCCGGGCTCCAGCAATCCGCCTGCCTCAGCCTCCCAAGTAGCCGGGACCACAGGCGTGTGCCACCATGCCCAGCTAATTTTGGTATTTTTTGTAGAGACCAGATCTTGCTGTGTTG